TGTGTGTGTGTGTGTGTGTGTGTGTGTGTGTGTGTGTGTGTGTGTGTGTGTGTGTGTGTGTGTGTGTGTGTGTGAGAGAGAGAGAGAGAGAGAGGCGATCACATTATTGTGGGCCATTTTCACTCACCCAAGAGGGAATAGTTGGCATCCTCAACATGGAATCATTTGTAGTACTAAGTGGGGCTGGGTCCACCGGACTATTGACCAGGCCTCACTGGTGCTTTGTTGGACCTCAGAGGGTGGGAATGCTCCTGTAAAGCTGGGGACAGTCGTTGCAAGGTGGTGTGGACATAGTCCAATTGGGGCCTGGTCTCTGGACATAGTCCCATTCGCAGGGAAATCTGGTGGCTGACAGTAGATGGTTCGTATTGACTCAAGACCAAGGCCATTGGACACAGTCCTGGACATAGTTCGGTGGGCCTTGTCCATAATCCATGCGGCAGATGAGGAAGAACTGGCCTGGGGCCTGCTTGGGGACTTTTGCACGTGTGGAGGGCCTGCCCCTTACTCCAGTGCCCTTGCTGACGAAGAACCACTACCTTCCCCCCCCGTAGCCTGGGGCATTGTCAGGGATGGCAGAGCTCAAGCTGAGGAATAACTGGACTGGGGCCTCATTGGGGACTACAGTTATGTGGATCCTCCCTCCCTTCATGCCACTGGCTTGCCTCGGGGCACTTGCAGTGCTGTGGTGGAATGATTATTGATGAAAGGCATTCCACGATGAAGACCCCAAATTCGAATCTCAGGGTCAAAATTCCCAGTCCGAGAGAGCCCAGGTCAGCCAGTTTCAGAAAGGTTATGTCAGGTACCCCAGAGGTCAAGTCCGACAGGTACCCGGTCAACAGTCACATCCAAGAGGCAAAAGCCGCATCCCATAAGCAAAAGTCACGTCCCACAGTCAAAGGTTGTGTCTCACAGGCAAAAGCCACGTCTCACAGTCAAACGTCATATACCACAGGCAAGGGTCACGACTCACGGTCAAGAGTCACGTTCCACAGACCCAGAAGCAGCAGCACACCAAGGAAAACCCAGGAAGGTACCGGGCATCAACATTCTGAGGCAAACAGGCCACGGGCAGCTGGTACCAGGCCCAAGTCAGGCCAAGAGAAGCAGAGGCTGGGACGAGTCAAGGCTCAGTCCAAGTCGATATAAGGACTGGCCAGCCACATTTTGGACAGATTGCTCAATCGCACGAGGTGTGGAAGTGCTGCTGAGGCGCTTGTGCGCTATCTGCGAGTAGCTGGCGCTGGAGCCCCTGCTGGGAAGCGCTGTGCTGAGGAAGGAAGGCGCCCATAGCTGCATAGCTAGTAGTAGGAGACAGAGCTGACTAGTAGCGGATGTATTCAGAGTCAAGATCTTCAAGTAGAGAGGGAGAGAGAGAAAGAGAGGGTGAGCGCATGCATGAGGAAGGGGGGCAGAGAGAGAAGAGAGTCACCTACCTTAGATGAGGATGCTCGATATGGGTTGCTGAACTCTGCGCTGGTGAGCGCTTGATGACTGGAACTCGGAAACTGTTTAATATGATAATTCGTTGGAATTTCTAAGCTGCGCTTATCTGGACTATGCATCTCTGGTCTCCAGTGTGGATTTCGTGTGACACATTGTGTGTGTGTGCTCAAGGTGCCGAGCAGTGAGGTCCAATGCATTGATCACATCAGGATAGAATTGGCACTAGAGAGCAGAGACTTGGCTATTTCGAATGTTGCCTCCCAGACTTGGACTTGACTATTGTGAGACGTTGGCGAAAGACAATCATTCGGGTGGTGCATTGAGTTGCAGTCTCTCCTTCTTCTTCTCCTCCTCCTCCTCCTCCTCTGCTCACCTTCGTCTCATCTCCCCGCCTCCATCATCCATGGTATTCTCCCCATGATCCATGGTATTCTCCCCATGTGTTTGAGGATGAGGAGGGATCGTCTTCCATGCATGTCCCCTCCTTGTCCATCTCATGTTTGATGATGTATGTGTGGCATTGTGTGCACTTAGTTCAGAGTCTGATTAGTTAGATTGGTGCTTTTTCACTCTTCCACTACCTCCATTGTTGTTTGTCCGCAATTTGGTGATTCCTTGGTTCTGTGCCACGCCTCTCTGATTGGGGGCATGCAAAAACAACTGCATTCCTCCTCATGTCCTCAAACGCCTCCGAGGTATAATTTGAAACAGACTCCTGCTTTTTGAATCCCCACAAATTCATTGAAATGTGGTCAGTTGACCAGTTAACACACGAAAAGATTGATCGAAAATGATGTTTGAGGTCACACAATGACACCAAGGTCCCAGACAACTGCTTCAGCAAAGATGCTCCTGCAAAACGATCCGTCAGAGCAAACCCATCTGCGTACACCTATATAGGTACAGGAGCCATCTGGCGCTGTAGTGTCCTTCCACACAAGGCTGTAGTGTTGTGGCGGAGGTGGCAACTGCCCCCATGAAAGAACTCGTCCATGAAGCGATAAGTGAAGGCTTACCGTTGAATACCGTCTTCAACCGAATAAAACGACCGGTCATTATAGCCGTATTTGGGACAACTTTCAGTCCAGATGCAGCCATAATGACCCGGCGTTCTATTCGGGTGAAGACGATAGCTTGAAGATCATGCTGAYAGAGGTCATCAACAAAACCCCATGTCATTCCAATTGAGCGTCACACTGATTATTTCCCGGTCAATGTTAGAATGCCAACAATCTGGTTCTGAAGCATGCCATGTGCTGTGTGAAGATAGGTGTTCTGTACGACAAAGTGAAGACGTTGACGAATCTGAGAAACAAAGAGGATGTCTGTGCCTGAATCAGCTGTCCATTGGCCACAATGATACCGTCGAGTCACCTTGTCAAGGGCATCCACAGGTGATTATGCTAAGGGTATAAGCAGGGGCTTGATCAGCAGCTTTTGCCAGCTTATTCAGAATCCAGTCTTGTGGAGGGTTGTCGTGCACTCCGTGACTTGTACGGATGAAGGCCATTAAGGGACGTGGAGGAAGAGGAGATGGAGAGAG